CAATGACTTCTAATTTGAACAGCTAAAATTCCAAATTAAAACATATTTTAATAATATTGATAAGATGTTGTAAAACATATATTCCAGGGCCCAAAAATGAAGAAAACATTTAAGTTGATAATTTTAGCCTCAAGCAGCTTGGATATGTGGTATGTACTTTTTAGAAAATATAACTGACATGGAGTAATGTAGGAGATAAATAAGGAGAGTATGCAGGGAATTTGCCAATGAAAGAAAGATGAAAAACAGGGGCCAACACAAGTTTTGGAAAATGCTGACATAGGACATCATTATACACAGTTTATAACTTCATATGATAAAATCTGAGAAAGGATGCGATGAGGTTCTGGCAGTGTAGAAAGGGAACGATAAATGTACTGCTTTTTGTATTAATCTTTGCTGGGGTCTGAGTGCGTGTGTCCCCCAAAGTTCATCTGCTGAGGCTTAGTCACTCTGGATGGTAAGGAGATCGGTGGGCAGCAGGTAATTTAGTGGCCTGGCCCAGCTCTCAGGAACTGGGTTAGCACACTCCTAAAAGAGTCCCCAGAAGACTGCTTCACCTCTTGCACTCCATGAGGACACAGAAACAGGGGCCCTCAATGAACCAGAAGGCAGAACTCAACAGACACGGAACCTCTCAGCGCCATGACCAGAGCATTCCCAGCTGCCAGAATAGTAGGAAATAGATTTCGCTTTTTAAAGTACACTTCCAAGCTTAAGGTATTTCTGTTATAAAAGACAGCCTTTGTATATTTTCTGAGCTCATCTAAGTAAACTGATATATGGTTATACATTATGTTTTTACCTTGATTTTCCAAAAACAGTTTTGTTGGGAGTTTACTTAGCACAGGGTGCTTGTAAATATCTTTTTGATGCTGCATGAACATACCCTTGTTTTTAAGTAAACTCATACCTAAAACAAAATTTAAAAACAAAAGTCATATAATGATACTATCAGTTTCAAATGGCATATGTTAATCTTTCTTTATTTGTAATTGTTCTTCCCACATTTTATACAGTGTTTGCTTGCCTATTATTCCAAAACCTAGAAAGAATTTTATTATTTTCTTTTCTTTGCCTTTTGTTGTTCAAAGTTGTGATTTTTGTTGAGTTCCTTTATTCTACATAATCCTTACTTTTGGCTTTTACCCAAATCCCATTTTTTT